CTTATGTGGTGCTGAGGAATCGAACCCAGGGCCTCATGCATGCAAGGCAAGCGCTCTACCACTGAGCCACCTTCCCACCCCCTCTGTGAGACTCTTATCTCCAATAAACTCCGCAGAAAAAGCTGGAAGTGGAGCTGTGGCTCAAATGGTAGCGTGCTAGCCTTGAGCTAAAAGATGCTCAAGGACAGTGTCCAGGCCCTGAATATAAGCCTTGGAACTGGAAAACAAAAACAACAACAACTACAAAAACAGAAAAACAACACAGATTTCATTCTGAATAAATGAGGGAAGGGGTGGGAAAATGTAGGTATAGACTCTAAGACCAAAGACTTTGGGCGCTGGTGGCCCACGCCTGTAATCCTAGCTACTCTGGAGGCTGAGATCTGAGGATCCGTGGTTCAAAGCCAGCTTGGGCAGGAAAGTCCGTGAGACTCTTATCTCCAGTGAACCACCAGAAAACTGGAAGTGGCACTGTGGCTCAAGTGGTAGAGCACCAGCCTTGAGCATAAATTATGCTCAGAAAAAAAAAGAGCCAGGCCTAGTACCTATACCACCAAAAAAACCAAAACCAAAAAACAAACAAAAACCAGACACTGGGTCTGGTGGCTCACGCCTGCCATCCTAGCTGCTCAGGAAGCTGAGATCTGAGGATCACTGTTGGAAATCAACCCCAGCCTGCTGGCCAGAGACACTTCAGAGATGGAGCAGGCCTTGCCTTTGACCTTGACCTGTCTGAACCTACTCTCTCTTTCCAGCAACAGCAAGAAGCTCTGCCTGATGAGACAGAGGTGGTGGAGGAAACAGTGGCTGAGGTGGCCGAGGTACATGGGATGGGGTGTAGGGGAGCGGGGAGGGGAATCCCAGGCCCCTAGCTCTTCCCCACCCTTCTCTTCCTTGCTATAATACACACCGGTGTCCTGGGTCTCCATGCTGGATGGGTTATTGGCCCCCCTTCCCTCCTGAATGTCCCCCACCTATTCCCAAATTCTCACTACCCATGATTTTGAAATTCACCTTTCTCCCATGATCCTTTGCCAAAGACAGGTTAAAAAAGGGAGTTGCTCAGGTATGCCTGGAACACCTTTTCTCTTATACTCTTGAAGGCCACTGAGGTATCTCAAGGGAACCCCAAAGCACTAGGAACTATTTGGTATAAGATTAATAAGTTGGGTGGGGGTGGCTCAGGCCTGTTATCCTCGCTATTCAGAAGGCTGAGATTTGAGGACTGGGGTTCAAAGCCAGCCTAGGAAGGAAAGTCCATGAGACTCTTTATCTCCAATTAACCACCCAAAAGCCAGCAGTGGAGCTGTGGCTTATGTGGTAGCATGCCAGCCTTGAGCAAAAATACCTCAAGGACAGTGCCCAGGCCCTAAGTTCAAGAAAGAAAGAAAGAAAGAGAGAGAGAGAGAGAGAGAAAGAAAGAAAGAAAGAAAGAAAGAAAGAGAGAAAGGAAGAGAGAGAGAGAAAGAAAGAAAGAGAGAAAGGAAGAGAGAGAGAAAGAAAGAAGAAAGACAGAGAGAGAGAGAAAGAAGAAAGAAAGACAGAGAGAGAAAAGGAAGGAAGGAAGAAAGAAAGGAAGGAAGGAAGGAAGGAAAAGTCAGGTGCTGGTGGCTCATGCCTATAATCCTAGGTACTCAGGAGGCTGAGATCTGAGGCTCCTGGTTCAAAGCCAGCCCAGGCAGAAGAGTCTCTGAGACTCTTATCTCCAATTAACCAGTAAAAAGCTGGAGGTGGAGGCTTGGCTCAAGCAGTAGAGCACCAACCTTGAGCAAAAGAGCCAAATGAGAGCATGAGGCCTTGAGTTCAAACCCCAATTCGGGAACATACCCTAAAAGATAAATAAACAATTAATCAACTAGGAATGCCTATAAAGCCCGGAGCCAGTGGCTCACGCCTGTCATCCTAGCTACTCAGGAGGCTGAGATCTGAGGATCACGGTTCAAAGCTAGCCTGGGCAGGAAAGTCTGTGAGACTCTTATCTCCAATGAACCACCAGCAAACCAGAAGTGGTGCTATGGCTCAAGTGGTAGAGCACTCGCCTTGAGCTGAAGAGCTGAGGGACAGTGCCCAGGCCCAGAGTTCAGGCCCCATGATGGAAGAAAAAGAAAAAGAAAGCCTTTAAGATTCAGTCTAAACTCCTGGGCCCGGCATGTATGTTATACTCTGCGCCCAGCCCGCCCTTCCAGCCTGCCTCTCCTTCCTCCATCCTTACGAGATCTGGGATGGGAGACAGCCACCATTTGACTTATTTTTTTTCCCCTTTCCATCCCAGGTCCCTGTGGGAGCCAACCCCGTCCAGGTAGAAGTAGGAGAATTTGAAGATGGCGCCGAGGAAGCAGTAGAGGAGGTGGTAGCTGACAGTAAGTCCTTCCAGTGACTTCCCACGCGCAGGCTGCCCTTGGCTGGCCCGGCCTGTGGGCCTGACTAAGGAAAAGACCATCAGTGTGAGGCTTTTGTGCTAGGGAAATGTAGGGTGGGGCTCTGTGGGATCCTGGAGAGAGAGCTGAGAATAGTCTGGCCTTTCGTCCTCTGGAATCTGGACTCTGGGGAGGATCTATTTATAACCAAGCCATCATCCTGTGAGTGGACAGAGGGGAAGGTCTCTGACCGGAAGTAGCCTCTCCTCCTCCTTGTCCTGAATCCAAGCTGAGTTTCTCATTCCTTGAAGGTCATGGAGATTTCCCATAGTTTGTTTCCTCCTCCTCCTCCTCCTCTTTCTTCTTTCTCCTTTCTCCTTCTTCTCCTCCTCTTCGTTTTCCTCCTCTTCCTCCTTTTTCTTCCTTCCTTCCTTTCTTTCCTACCTACTTTCTCTGTCTCTGTCTCTCTGTCTGTGTCTGTCTCTCTCTGTCTCTCTGTCTCTGTCTCTGTCTCTTTTGCCAGTCCTAGGACTTGAACTCAGAACCTCTGTGCTGTCCCTCTGCCTTTTTTGTTTTTTTGGGTCCGGTCATGGGGCCTGAACTCTGGGCCTGGGCGCTGTCCCTCAGCTCTTCAGCTCAAGGCTAGCGCTCTACCACTTGAGCCACAGCGCCACTTCCCGCTTTTTCCTTTTTGCTTATGTGGTGCTGAGGAATCGAACCCAGGGCCTCAGGCATGCAAGGCAAGCGCTCTACCACTGAGCCATCTTCCCAGCACCCCCTCTGCCTTTTTTGTGCTCAAGGCTAGCATACTGCCACATAAGCCATAGCACCACTTCTGGCTTTTTCTGTTTATGTGGTACTGAGGAATCCAACCCAGGGCTTCATGCATGCTAGGCGAGCACTCTGCCACTAAGCTACATTCCCAGCCACCCCTGGCTTTTTCTGAGTAGTTTATTTCCAGCCCCAGCTGGCTTTGAACCACAATCCATAGATCTCCATCTCCTGAGTAGCTACAATGTCAGGCATGAGCCACCAGCACCCAGCAGCTTGAACTCAGGAACTTTTTACACTCATGAGATGATCTGGTTTTCACTCACTTCAGTGACATCTGTCCCTGAGGAAATGGAATCTGACAAACTCCCCAGATGGAGGGAGGGAAATGGCCAACAGCCTTTGGGTTGAGTCTGCAGGCTAAGGTGTCTAAAGTATGTACAACACGGATGCTAGAAACAAACCAAGTAAGGTAGGGAATGTGGCTTAGTGGTGGAGTGCTTGCCTAGCGTGCATGAAGCCCTGGGTTCCATTCCTCAGTACCACATACACAGAAAAAGCCAGAAGTGGGGCTGTGGCTCAAGTAGTAGAGTATTAGCCTTGAAGCTCAGGGACAGTATCTAGGCCCTGAGTTCAAGCCCCAGAACTGGCACAAAGAAAAAGAATAAGGAAAAAGAAAAAAAAAGTCATAGCTTAGTGCCTACAAAGCAGACATGTCATACAGGACAACAAAAATAACCCAGAATAAGCATTAGGAAGCAAATAGCTGGGTAAATCTTACCTGTAGGGAATAAAGAAGGAGTCGGGGACTAAACTAAGTTGCGAGTTTTTGTTGAAGCACAAAAGTGTGAGCTTGAGTCATAGCCCTTCCTTTTTCCTGCTGCTTTCTTCTGGTGTTTACAAGACTCAACTCCATTGTCCATTGTGGGTCTCTACGGCCTCTTCCTTTTCCTTTTCCAGACATTTAAGTCTGTTTAGGTGGACTTCACAGCTCCCAAATTGCTGACAGTGGTTGACTACAAGCTATTTCAGAAAGTCTATTCTAAGCTGGCTACCGGTGGCTCACACCTGTCATCCTAACTCAAGAGGCTGACATCTGAGGATTGTGGTTCGAAGCCAGCCAGGGCCGACAAATCTAGGAGGCTCTGATCTCCAATTCACCAGCAAAAAAAAGCAGAGGTGGCAGTGTGGCTCAAAGGGTAGAGCACCAGAAAAGCTAAGCAAAAGTGTGAGGCTCTGAATTCAAGCCCCAGTACTGGCACAAAAAAAAGAAAAAGTCTGTTGTAGAAGCTAGAAAAGCTTCATTGTGATTTGTTAACTGGGTACTGGGAGTGTGGTGTTGGTTTCCATGTTTCTGAGACCCACACTGGACCTTTGGTCCCCCTCCATCTCTCCCCCACCCCACCCCAAAGTGCCTGGTCCTGCTGCTAGATGCCACCTGTAATCCTAGCTACTCAGGAAGCTGAGATCTGAGGATCACAGTTCATAATTAGCACCCCCCTGCCAAGCATTGATGATCCTGGGGCTTGAACTCAGGGCCTAGTCACTGAGTTCTTTTGCTCAAGGCAAGTACTTGAACCACAGCTCCACTTCCAGCTTTTTCTGAGTAGTTTATTGGCAATCAGAGTCTCAGGCACTTTCCTGCCCAGGTTGGCTTGGAACCACGATCCTCAGATCTCAGCTAGGAGGCCAGGAGTGAGCATCGGCGCCCAGCTCTAAGGATCGACTTGTCTGCTGGGTGCTCTGCCTGATCGCTTGTGATGCTGGTATTGCTGACTTGACGGCCTTGTACCTCTCCAGACCCCTGCCAGAACCATCACTGCAAACACGGCAAGGTGTGTGAGCTGGATGAGAGCAACACCCCCATGTGCGTGTGCCAGGACCCCACCAGCTGCCCTGCCCCCGTCGGCGAGTTCGAGAAGGTAAGAGCCTCCTGTAACACAGTGTGGGTGTGGGAAATGGTGCACTTCCGGTGTGTGGAGGGGGGTGTTCCTACGTCGGAGCTGTGATTTCCGAAGTCCTCTTGCTACATCCGGTCATCCCAGGAAAGCAGAGGTGAATGAGAGGTGATGTGCTCACTGCCTTCGATCCGTCTGGAAACCAATAAGGGTTAAATTGGCCACATCAAGTTCAAATTCACTTGTCCCCAAACGTAGACTCTGCGATCTGGTGGGACTTTACATCTTAGCTCCACTACTTTTTTTTTGCCAGTCCTGGGGCTTGAACTCAGGGCCTAGGGACTGTCCCTGAGCTTCTTTGGCTCAAGGCTAGCGGTCTACCAACTTGAGCCCCAGCACCACTTCTGGCTTTTTCTGCTTATGGGGTACTAAGGAATCGAACCCAGGGCTTCATGCATGCTAGGCAAGTACTCTACCACTGAGCTGACTTCCCAACGTTCTGTTATTTCTTGGCTGTAAGACCTTAGCTAAAGCGCAAAGCCTTTCTAACCTCAGCTGAAATGGTTAACTCCTTGTGGGAATTTTATTTGGGGGATAATATTTTATACATAAGAACCCAATAAGGGCTGTGTTTTCTTTCTCTTTCTTTCTTTCTTTTTTTTTTTGTTGGTCGTGGGGTTTGAACTCTGGACCTGGGCACTATCCCCAAGCTCTTCAGCTTAAGGTGAGCGCTCTGCCACTTGAGCCACAGCGCCACTTCCAGTTTTCTGATGATTAATTGGAAATAAGAGTCTCACAGACTTTCTTGCCCAAGCTGGCTTTGAACCGTGATCCTCCGATCTCAGCCTCCTGAGTAGCTAGGATGACAGGCCTGAGCCACTGGTACCTGGCTCAAGGCCTGTTTTTTCAAATGATGGTTTCTCAAACTTATCCATTCTCTTTCTAACATCCATCTACCCCTATCCATTCACCCTCCCGTCATCTATATACCTGTTTATCCATTATCCACCCAACCCATTCACCCACTCAGCATTTATCAGTCCGTTATCCATCCATTGATCTATTCGTCATTCATATCCATCCATCATCCATCCATCTAACTCAACATCTATCATTCATCTGTTTTCCATCCCATCTATTATCCACCCATCCATCCATATGTACATACATCTATTCATCCATCATCTGTCCATCCATCAACCATCATATATGCATTCACTTATCCATCATTATCTATCCATTCTTCATCTATCCATCTACCCACCCATCATCAATCCATTTATCTATACATTATCCATCCATCCACCCACTCATTCACCATCCACCGACCCATCCACATCCACCCACTCATTCACCATCCACCCATCCATCCATCCATCCATCCATCCATCCACCCATCCATCCACCCATCCATCCATCCATCCATCCATGCATCCACCCATCCATCCACCCATCCATCCACCCATCCATCCATCCATCCATCCATCCAACCTCTATCATCTATCTATTATTCATCAATCCATTAGCTACCCATCCATACTGATGTCCATCCACTCATCCATTATCTATCCATCCACCACCCATCCATCCATTATCCACCCACCCCACATCCATCTATCCATCTACCCATTATCCATTCATCACACTTGTGATCTGAGGATCACAGATCCATCAACCATCCATCTATCCACCCCCATCCATCCACTCATCTATCCTTTATCCATCCATTCTTCATCCATCCATCTCTCCACCCATCATCTAGCTAGCTAGCTAGCCATCCTCCATTCTCCAGCTAAGCCCTGGGAATAACTTACTTCTCATCTCAGTTACGGTTTACTATAGTGACATTGAGGATCTACAGCTGGATCACACAGGAAAAAAGCAGGCAGAGATTGGGGGATCCAGGTAGAGAAAAACCCATGAGAAACTCAAAGCTTTTAGTTATTTACATATGCATGTGTGTATGCATGCATGCATGTATGCATGCATGCATGTATGTATGTATGTATGTATGTATGTATGTATGTATATATTTAGTGCTCCTACCAGGACTTGAACTCAGGGCCTGAGTTCTGTCCTTTAGCTTTTCTTCCGCTCCAGGCTGGCTCTCTACCACTTGAACCACAGCTCTACTTGCAGCTTCTTGGTGGTTCATTGGAGATAAGAATCTCATGGACTTTCCTGCCTGGGCTGGCCTCGAACCGTGATCCTCACATCTCAGCCTCCTAAGCAGCTAGGATCACTGGCCTGAGCCACCGGCACTTGATCCCATCCCTGGCTTTAACTTGTCCTTCAAGTGTCTTTCATGTTCCAGGCTTGACTCAGCTGTGGCTCTGCTCTGCAGTTCCTCTCTGCAGGGACTAAATGATGGAGCTGGGGGGGGGCGGGGCACGAGGAGAGGAGGGGGCGGGGCTTGTCGCAGCCCTTTCTCCAATGCACAGTGTGATCCTGGGCCTTCTGTGGAATGGGCCAGGATGTTGGTAGCACTGAAGGGCGTTGGACACAAAGGCGGGTGCTTGACCCACAGGTGTGCAGCAACGACAACAAGACCTTTGATTCCTCCTGCCACTTCTTTGCCACCAAGTGCACCCTGGAGGGCACCAAGAAGGGCCACAAGCTCCACCTGGACTACATCGGGCCTTGCAAATGTGAGTCTGCCCTTCCCACCTCGGACACGGAGCTCTGAAAAGCCGGAATTACAGGCATGAGCCACCCGTGCTGGCCAAGATAGTGATGTACATACATTAAAAAAAAGTTGTTGTTGTTGTTGTTGTTGGCGGTCGTGGGGCTTGAACTCTGGGCCTGGGCGCTGTCCCTCAGCTCTTCAGCTCAAGGCAAGCGCTCTACCACTTGAGCCACAGCACCACTTCTGGTTTTCTAGTGGTTTATTGGAGATAAGAGTCTCATGGACTTTCCTGCCCGGGCTGGCTTTGAACCACGATCCTCAGATCTCAGCCTCCTGAGTAGCTAGGATTACAGGGGTGAGCCACTGGTGCCTGGCTCTGGTTAAGCATTCCTGATCCTCTCTCCAGCTCCCTTGAAGCTAGACTATGGGAAGATATCAATTCTCACCTTCAAACACCGCCCATAATAATAATATTAATAATAACAAGATTATCATTATCATTATTATTATTATTACTACTACTACTTGCCAGTCCTGGGGCTTGAACTCAGGGCCTGGGCACTGTCCCTGAGCTGCTTTTGCTCAAGGCTAGCACTCTACCACTTGAGCCACAGCGCCACTTCTGGCTTTTTCTGCTTATGTGGTGCTGAGGAATCGAACCCAGGGCTTCCTGCATGCAAGGTAAGCGCTCTACCACTGAGCCACCTTCCCAGCCCCCACCTCCCCGAATTTGACCTCCCGGCCTGGCTCAGCCTTTGCCAGGCCCCTGGGCCCCAGAAGCTGTGGAAGCCACCGGGGAGAATTGTGGTGAGCTCTGCCCAGACCAAATCTGAGCAAGCAGTAGACAACTTTTTGCCCTTTCCTACACTCTCCTAGCTCAGTGGCCTTTTAAGCTCAGAGAGATGACCTTGACACCATGACAAGGTCACAGATGGATGCTCAGGCTGAGGAGTTGGGTGTGGCGTGGGCAGAGTAGCTTGAGCAACCTGGCGGCCTGAGGGAAAGGAGAAAGCAGATCTGAACTGACCACTCTTTGTGTCCCTGGCCCTAGACATTGCCCCCTGCCTGGACACCGAGCTGACCGAATTCCCTCTGCGCATGCGGGATTGGCTCAAGAATGTTCTGGTCACTTTGTACGAGAGAGATGAGGACAATAACCTTCTGACCGAGAAGCAGAAGCTGCGAGTAAGTGGATGGTTTTTTCTATTTGTTTGCTTGTTTTTTTTGGTGCCAGTCCTGGGGCTTGAACTCAGGGCCTAGGCACTGTCCTTTTTGCTCAGAGCTGGTGCTTTACCATTTGAGCCACGGCATCACTTCTGTGTTTTGGGTGGTTATTGATGGTGGGTTTTTCTTTTTGTCAATGGGGGGGGGGCTTGAACTCAGGGCTTGGGCGCTGTCCCTGAGCTATTTCCTCAAGGCGAGCGCTCTACCGCTTGTGCCACAGCGCCACTTCTGGTTTTCTGGTGGTTTATTGGAGATCAGAGTCTCACGGACTTTCCTGCCCGGGCTGGGTTTGAACCATGATCCTGGGATCTCAGCCTCCCGAGGAGCTGGGATTACAGGCGTGAGTCGCCATCTCCGGGCTCTCTCGAGTCTGTAGATGAGGTGCTAGCATTAAGGGCCCTGCCATTTCCTTCCTGCCTCGGTTCGGCTGCCTCTTGGCACAGATGGAAGAGGCTCCAGTGGCCTGCACTGTCTCCCCGCTTCCCCCCAAACCTCAGTCACCCCCCCAAATCTCTGCTTCTCCAGGTGAAGAAGATTCACGAGAATGAGAAACGCCTGGAGGCTGGAGATCACCCAGTGGAGCTGCTGGCCCGAGACTTCGAGAAGAACTACAACATGTACATCTTCCCCGTGCACTGGCAATTCGGCCAGCTGGACCAGCACCCCAATGACGGGTAAGACCTATAACCCCTGAGTACCGCAGGGGATTGCCTTAGTCCCGGTCCTGAGCAGAGAGTCACGAGCCAGAGCCGAGACACAGCTAGAAAACCTCCTGGTGAGGTCAGCCGCCCCAGCCCTGGGCCTCATGGTCTTCCTGGGGCCCAGGAAACGTCCAGAAGGAGACTGTCGAGTTGGGAGAAAAGATCTGGGAAGGTTCCCTCACAATGGAGGCCGAAGCCAGTGAAAATGGAAAACACCTGGGTCTGCGAATGCTCCAGCGAGGAAGCCATGAATAGAAAGACAGGGAGCCCTAGGGAAAGAGGGTCAGACTTTCAAATCAAGTCGGCGCCGGTGGCTCACATTTGTCCATTCTAGCTCCTCAGGAGGCTGAGATCGGAGGATCGTGATTCGAAGCCAGCCCCAGCAAGGGAAAGTCTGTGGGGATTTTTTTTTTTTTCTTTAATGTTGCCAGTGTCTTAGGGCTTGAACTCAGGGCCTGGACCCTGTCCCTGAGCTTCTTTTGCTCAAGGCCAGCCCTCTACCACTTGAGCCACAGCGCCACTTCCGGCTTTATCCCTGGTCCTGAGGAATCGAACTCAGGGCTTCATGCATGCTAGGCGAGCCCTCTACCACTGAACCACTTTCCCCAGGACACCCAGGGGGAAAAGAGGGGTGTCACCTTCACCCGGTGGGTCAGCGGTTATCTCTCTCCCTCCCGGCCTGCGGTGTTCACAGGGGCCTCTGCAGTGACCCCCTCTCGCGTCCTTCCGAGTGCTGTAGCGCAGGCTCACCGCCCGCCCGGGCTGTCTTGCAGGTACCTGTCCCACACCGAGCTGGCTCCGCTGCGCGCTCCCCTCATCCCCATGGAGCACTGTACCACCCGCTTCTTCGAGGCTTGTGACCTGGACAACGACAAGTACATTGCTCTGGACGAGTGGGCCGGCTGCTTCGGCATCAAGGAGCGTGAGTATCTCGCGTGGGGGACGTGGGGTGGGAGGTTCGAGGTCAAACCCCGAAGGTCTGCTCTTTCGGGTGTCTTCTAGATCCTTCTAGATCCTTCTCGGGTCATGAGAAGGCCTCGGTCCCTTTTCCCTCAACTTGAGCATTCAGCTTTGGTTCCATCCCATTTCTACTCGGGGGAAACGTGGAGGCCCCCGGTGGGAGAAGAGAGGAGATGAACTGGGCAGTGTGGCTAAGAGACCAGGACTTCCCGGAAATAGGGAGGCTGCAGTTTGTAGGCGCCAACACTTTGGGGACTTTGGTCACGTCCACCTGTTCCTGGGATGGAGGGACATCTAACAGTTCCTGGGAGCCATGTCTTTGTGGACACAGAGCCTCATTTTATTGATCATGATCATTATTATTATTGTTGTTGTTGTTGGTGGTCATGGGGTTTGAACTCTGGGCCTGCGTGTTGTCCCTGAGCTCTTCAGCTCAAGGCGAGCGCTCTACCACTTAAGCCCCAGCCCCACTTCTGGTTTTCCCTTGGTTTGCTGGAGATAAGAGTCTCAGGAACTTTCCTGCCCAGGCTGGCTTTGAACCTGGATCCTCAGATCTCAGCCATCTGAGGAGCTAGGAAGACAGGCATGAGCGCCCGGGGCACCCGGCTTGAGCCTCCTTTTTAACTGTGTCTTCTCTGTTCACTTTCCAGAGGATATCAACAAAGACCTTGTCATCTGAGCCGGCTCCCTCTTTAGCACTCCGGGATTCTCTCTCTCTCTCTCTCTCTCTCTGATGGTCTCCCCTCTCCCCCATTCCCCCTCCTCTCCTCCCCTCTTCCCCTCTAAGTTTTAAATGTTTGGATGGTTTGGGGTTCTGCCTGGAGACAAGGTGCTAACATAGATGTCGACGAACACATTAACGGTGCTAAAAAAAAAACGAAAGAAACACGGAAATTGTAACCCAAAATCCCGACCTTCTGAGTTGTAGGCTTTGGTTGAGGCCTACCCAGGCCCCGCCTTGCTTCTCCATGACAATACATTACTACAATCAGCTGACCGGCTTGGGTGGAGACCGCCGTGCCCAAGCCTGCCTGAAACCTACGCCCTGCCTGAAACCTACGCATCATCCTCTCTCTCTCTCTCTCTCTCTCTCTCTCTCTTTCTCTCTCTCTCTCCTTAAATCTATTCCTCACCCACTCTGGGTTCATTTCATTTCAGGGACTTGGTTGCTAGGCACCATGTCTAGGTAGCCTGGGAATTGGGTAAAAGGAAGTAACAGACACGAACACATGATCTAAGAAGGTTCTGGAACTAGAGAAACAGCGGTGAGAGACTCCAAATGGCAAGTCTTGATTCCCTTGAAGCTGCTTTGAAAGTTGAGCCCTTCTAGAAGCTGGGATGTCACCATCTTGACTGTAGTCAAAATTTCCCAGCAGCCACGGGGATGATGATGGCTCAGGAGACTAGATCCACACATCCCTAACCCCCTCTTCTGGGGGTGGGGCTTCTCCCCTTTTATTTTTGGGGGATAGGGGAGGGAGTCTCAGTTTATATTAGGCAGGAAAGCCAGAAGCATGAGAAAGACATTGTCAGCATGTCGTAAAGCAGGAAAGTTGGGCCTGGTGAGCTGCGGGTGGTGTTTTTCTTCGTCTTTCCACCTCTATCGGTCAGGTTTCTAGCATGTTCCGTCTCTTTGCCCATCTTCTATTCATCCGGAGACATTTCAAAGGCGACGCAATGGTCGGATCTCACAGGCTGAGAACGAAATTCCCCTCCAAGCATTTCATGAAGAAGCTGCTTTTCATTAATCACGCAAACTCACGCCCTGGTGTGTGCAGGGTTTGACCAAATCTTTCTAAATAAAAAGTAACGACTTAGAAACTGCCTTCCCTGGGTGGTTTTGCATGTGTCTGTGTGTGTGTGTGTGTGTGTGTGTGTGTGTGTGTGTATTTGCGCATGCGTGCTAGTACTGGGGTTCGAACTTAGGATCCTGGGCTGGTTTTGAACCACGATCCTCAGATCTCAGCTTCCTGTGTAGCTGGGGTGACAGGTGTGAGCCAGCGGTGCCCAGCTCCAATCCAAAATCTTTGATGGAAAAGCTTCGGCCATTTTTTTCCTCTTTTTCACCATCCTTCCCTCCCTGTAGATAAATGCCTTAAAACCACAAAAACAATGGGCTGGGAAGGTGGCTCAGTGGTAGAGTGCTTGCCTAGCATGCATGAAGCCCTGGGTTTGATTCTTCAGTACCACATAAACAGGCAAAGCCGGAAATGGTGCTGTGGCTCAAGTGGTAGAGCGCTAGCCTTGAGCAAAAAGAAACTCAGAGACAGTGCTCAGGCCCTGAGTTCAAGTCCCAGGACTAGCAAACAACAAACAAACAAAAACCCCATAAAAACAAACATACAGACCCCTTAACATTCAAAGGAAACCATATCATTCCCTTAGATGAAAGATAGTATCACTTACCATAGACAAGAAGCCTTAAGGATAAATGCTTTTTAAAAAGAAAGCTAAGAGGAAGACACAGAATCAGAGAGGGAAACGGGAAAACATACAACAGCTGCACTGGACATTGATGAAAATGAACTAAGCAACTCAGAGGGGAAGGGAGGACTAAGAGGGAAAGAGGGAACAGCTTACACTGAGCAAAAGGAAAGAAATGTATCAGCTGGTGTGGAAGAGGTCATTGTATTGTCAAAGCTCATGGAGTTCACAAACTTTATAGACCATGATAATGACAATTTGCCTTGTGAAGGTTAAAATGTGTTTGGTACTTAAACTAAGTATCACTATCCCACAATACTGTGAAATATGCGAAATTTATGTGATCACCTAATCTGAATTAACAAAAAGAAGAAGAAAAATGAGAGAAGGGATGGGTTAGGAGCGATGGGAGACAATGGTACCAGACACCTTGTATTCATATACTGTTCTGTAGAATGGGAACTTCTTTGTACAACTAGTTACCTTAACTATTCAGGAGGCTGAGATCTAAGGATTGCAGTTCAAAGCTAGCCCAGGCGGAAAAGTCTGTGGGACTCTTATTTACCATGAACCACTCAAAAACCTGAAGTGGCGCTGTCATTCAAAGTGGTAGAGCACTAGCCTTGAACAAAAATTGCTCAGGGAGTGTCCAGGCCCTGAGTTCAAGCCCCAGCACCAGCAAAACAAAGCAAAAAACAATGCGAGTCTTGTTCTGCAGTTGGTGGTCAGTTTTCGTTATTAACTCGACTGGATTAAAAAGCAAAGGCCTAAAGCCAGGCACCAGTAGTTCATGCCTGTAATCCTAGCTACTCAGGAGGCTGAGATCTGAGGATCACAGTTCAAAGCCAGCCCAGGCAGGAAAGTCCAGGAGACTCTTATCTCCAATAAACCACCAGAAAACCGGAAGTGGCGCTGTGGCTCAACCAGTAGAGCACTAGCCTTGAGCTGAAGAGTGAGAGAGAGTGCCCAAGCCCAGAGTTCAAGCCCCATGACTGACCAAAAACAACAACAACAACAAAAACAAAGGCTTAAAGCCAGGTACTGGTGGCTCACGCCTGTAACCCTAGCTACTCAGGAGGCTGAGGAGCAAGGATCATAGTTCAAAGCCAGGCTGGGCAAGAAAGTCGGTGAGACTCTTAACTCCATAAACCATCCCCTATCACCCCCCCACCCCCCAAAAAAGACAGAAGTGGAGTTGTAGGGGAAAAGCACTAACCCAGGCCCTGAGTTCAAGTCTCAGCACTGGCACAATAAACGGTACCAGAGGCCTAGGAGATTACAAGGCAAATCTCTAAGGTAATTCCATAGACTGGATGGGAAGAAATCTCAGTGTCTTTGTCTGGGATTAGCAGACTGAATCTAAGGAGACATTCAGAACACCAGATTCATAACTCTTTCCCCAAATCATTTCCGAGGCGAAAGGTGTGGCTGTCTCTCCAGAACTTTCTCTTCCTTTGTCCTTCTGGGCATCCTCTGGACCCCAGTTTTATTTATAGGGTTGGGGTGAGGGGTAGGGGTGGCTCTTTTGCTCATTCATTGGAGATAAGAGGTTCACAGATTTTCTTGCCCAGGCTGGCTTTGAACCATGATCCTCTGATCTTAGTGTCCTAAGTAGCTGATAAGCCTGGGCCATTTTCTGTGGATTGTACTTTTATGTTTAGGGCTGTTTGGTGAACTTTGACAAGCTCTTTCCCCTCAAAGGATCCATTCATTCATTCATTCTTGAATTCATTCATTCTCTCCTTCTGTGATTCCATAGACTAACGGTGGAGATTATTCCCAGCTGAGATAATCCTGTCTTCACAGACCCTGGAAATCTGTCCTGCTAGGTAGACTGTCCTAAGGATGGGAGCTTCTGGACTCTTCCACATCTACAACCTGATCTCCAGATGACTCCCCAGAGCCAGCAGGACCAAAGTATCTTCCCCGGTCATGGGAAGCAATGAGAGGAGTCCGAGCGCCCCCTGGTGGAACCAAGGAGAAAGGTTATGGGGGAATTATGGGAGCCAGAGACAGTTCAGCTCCATCATTCATCAGAGGGTAAACTGAGGTTCAGAGGAGTGGAAGATGACTCCCAATTATTATTATTATTTCTTTTGGGTCCGGTCGTGGGGCCTGAACTCTGGGCCTGGGTGCTGTCTCTGAGCTCTTCAGCTCAAGGCTAGCGCTCTACCACTTGAGCCACAGCACCACTTCTGGCTTTTTTCTTTTTGCTTATGTGGTGCTGAGGAATCAAACCCAGGGCCTCATGCATGCAAGGTAAATGCTCTACCACTGAGCCACCTTCCCAGCACTATGACTCCCAATTAATCGGGATTTCAAACAAAGAATATATACGTTGGATAATTAAATTTATACATAAACATTATAGAAAACATTATTCGAACATATAAATTGGACACTTAAATGTAAATATGTCTGATGCAAAGTTTCAGGGGATACTTCTTGTACGATGTGGTTCATGGAATATCTGAAATTCAAATGTTTATACTTTTTTCTTTGCTTGATTGGCAACACTACCTTCCAGTCCAGACACAGGAGAAAGAATAGGCAGTTTACACAGGACAGCTTTCTCTGTGTGTGTGTGTGTGTGTGTGTGTGTGTGTGCCAGTCCTGGGGCTTAGACTCAGGGCCTGGGTCCTGAGCTTTTTGCTTCAGCTCAAGGCTAGCGTTCAACCACTTGAGCCACACAGATAAGAGTCTGACAGACTTTCTGGCCTGGTTTCAAAAACTTGATCTTCAGATCTGAGCCTCCTGAGTAGCTAGGGTTACAGGCGTGAACCGCTACTGCCCAACTGATGGCAGGACTTTGAGATGGCGAATAATTCTTTGTAAAATTCTGGGCAGGGCGTCATTATAATGCAGTATATCATATAGCGAAAAATAAAGCAACAACAACAATAGAGAAAAGAATGGGCGGGGGGAGAAGAAAGAGCCCAAACAAGTTGGTTAATGTTTGTAAAAGGAAATTCATTTCTTTAAATTTAATTTAAAAAGGTTTGTGATGCACCAGGCACTGGTGGCTCATGCCTATAATCCTAGCTACTCAGGAGGCTGAGATCTGAGGATCATGGTTCAAAGCCAGCACGAGCAGAAAAGTCCCCGCGAGACTCTTATCTCCACTTAACCGCTCAAAATCCAGAAGTGGAGCTGTGGTTCAATGGGTAGAGCATTAACCTGGAGCACAAAGAGGCTCAGGAACAGCACCCAGGCCCTGAGTTCAAGCCCCACACTGACAAAAAAAAAAAAATCATGGTGCTAGAATTTGAACTCCAAGCCAAATGCTTGCTAGGCTGATGCTCTACCACTGGTGCTACAACTCTAGGCCTTGTAAAGGAAAATTACAGACAAATCTCTGATCATTGGTCTGTTTGACAACCAGGCAGGCGGCCAGACAATTCGGTGTGTGCAGGATTTCGAGTTTCTCCAGCCATTGCTGCTAAATACCCTCATATGCACAAACCCGAGGGAACTCCAGGGGGCGCTGAAGGCATGGCTGAATCTCTTTAGTGGAAGTTTATGGTGCACTACCTGCACTGACCAGCAGAGGACAGCCTGACATAAGGAATTGGACCTCCTAGGCCAGGCGGTCTCAGTCCTGAGACTTGAGTTCTCAGGGACACAAGGTTGGTTATACATACGGAGAAACTGAGTCTCAGATTTGTGATGTACTCAATATTGGCTCCCCCACCCCTTTTTTAGTACTGAGGCTTGAACTCAGGACCTTGTACTCTTGCTTTATCTTCCCCCCTCCCCCACCAAGGCTGGTACTTTACCACTTGAGTTACACCTCCATGTTGGGCTTTTGTGCTGGTTTGTTGGAGATAAGAGTCTCGTGGATTTGTCTGCC